TACTACTACTTAATAATGGCTAGCGATTGAAAATTATAATAGTATTATAACATACTTTTAGGCTATTCTTCACTACGTCGGAATTTCAGCTTGAATTATTATTTATCATACCATCTAATTTAATCTTTACCATCACGGCGTTGGTGCAGAGGAACATTCATTGGTCACGTGAACGCATTTGTTGTTGTTTACTCATAAGGTGTTTACATGCAATCCATTTAATAAATTTGCTAACATTGTTTCATCTAACATATTCATTTTTCACGAATGCTATCTCTTGTTGATTTACTTTACCCAGAAACAGACACTTCTTTTTTATTATTATTGCTTTTTGTATATCATTAGCAACTGTGCGTATAGTTATATCTGTAAGAAGCTTTTTTTACTAGGATCCATCACAGGTCCTTGGATGTGTCTTTTTGAAGTTACAGACCTATTGAGATTAGTTCCGCTTTATCATATAATTTGAAATCCACATCTCACATAGCAAGCAGGATATACCGAGTAATATTCTAAAAGTTTTAAATAGTGATGCATTCGTCAGTCTGCTCGCACCAGCTGGAAAATATACATTCACTAACGACATATCTCATTTGGGGTTAAGTACGGTTTTGCAACACAATGGGAAACCTATTATTTTTGCTTCGGGATCAGGCTTAAATGAACAAGAACGATCTTAGACAGCAACTGAGGCCTTAGTTGAGGTATGAACAGTAAAACGAATGCACAAGCGCTTGTTTGGGGAAGAACTGCACATTGTAAATAGTCACCAGAAGCTGAAGTTTATTTACCACCCAACTAAGCCACTTCATCGATCATCTGCTTGTGATTTCACCACCGAGCACACAGTAGCTAAAAGTACACCACGTGCAGATTACATATCCCGCTGACTATATTCCCAAATGCCAACTCAGGAAAATGATTGTACCTCGGTTTGACTATTATCTGTTGATACAGTAGAAATTGTGAAAGATACACACAAATAAGTATTGTGAAGCGAGGTTAGAATATTCAGTGCAAGAGTGGGTTTCCTGAGTTTTGCAAAAGGTAGGAACATATGTTACTATATCCTGAATCACTTTATGCTTTGATAATAGATTGATGATCTTCCTTGCAATCACATCTACAATAAACGATACCAGATCATTTGCAAAACCAACTATTAGGTCGCAAGTGAACTCAGTTGAACAACATAAACAATTCTAAAACTATCGTACTGCCAATCTTTTGTAGTTTATTCATGGGCATAGAAAAACGAATAAAAAACAGAGAAGACGACTTTGATGAACGATCAGATAGTAAAATGATTTATCAACAAAATTTGGCGATTATCGTACTAGAGGTGCGATTCAAGCTCATACTTAACTCTTTCATCTCCGTTTTGGTTTTTGAAGCGCTTTTCATACGCCTTTTGCTTCAGCTTTTACTGTTTAAAATTGTTCTGTTGGTGCGCATCTGAAAAGAGTCAAATAGTTGATAAGTTATGGACGAAATTAAAAATGATTTTGCTTAACGGGCTTCCCCAATCAACAATATCCGAGTGACATGCTTTGGTACAGCTAGTCACTGGAAGCTTCATGTACGGTTTGTTCGTTCACACTGTAGACTGTACCTATAAAGCAGTAGGAAAGTTATCACATTGAATTAGTTCATACCTGTTACTTTTTTTTCGATTAGGCTTTATTAATTTGTCCATATCCTCGTGTCGCGATATCGCACAATTTCGCCAGGTTTTTTCGTTGACCGATCATGACGAAAATCGACTGCTTAATGCACCTGAAGTTTAAGCAATAGATATAGGTTGCATCGCATGCAGCCGTAAAACCGGCACTTCTGAAGTGCTCGTTTTGATGAAGTGTTAAGTAGAGTGAAATTACTGGTAATATCAGGTACCAAGAGGTACGAAAAATCATATTGCATTGAGGTTTTAGGATCATTATCTATTAACTTCGTTAACATGACCATCTGTAACACGAACAGATTATCAAATCATTGTTTCTGACTTAAAAATCTGTTCCTGATTTCGTTCTGCTGTAAACAAGTATCCAATATCTGCAGTTCCTGTTCAGATGATGTTGTGATGGCCACCGAGAAGCCACCCACGTACATAGTCGATTGACTAAGTTATCGATTAACTTATCGATCAGATGTTAAATATTTGAATAGCAGTCAATTGACTAAATTATTGATGAATGTTTAAAAATTTAAATGACAACATTGATTATATATAATTTTGTATAAATACGCATGTTTTATTGTATATTTTGATTCTTGTCAATAAGTGCTCACAACGTCTTCGTCTTCTTACTTGCGAGCGGTTGGAGGTTATGACGTTCGAGTGTCATCCGTTGTAGAGTCTTTTCGTGCGTATTTGAGTAGAGAACTTAACAGTGACGACGGGTTTTACAATCAACAATGCCAATTACCTTTAAACAAATAGAATCTTTTCTGGAACGTCAAGGAAAACGATATGAACAGTTCCAGGAGCGTATGCTGGAGATGTTAGCGAAACAAATGAATCTAAATAACAGAGGTCTAACTGATGATTCACATAATACGTATACAGACTCGATAATTAATTCCATTCATGAATTTCATTTTGATGGCCTGGCTGGTGTGACTTTCGAGTCTTGGTTCAAGAAGTATGAAGATTTGTTCAAGGTCGACCTTAACAAACTGGATGACGCTGCCAAGGTCAGAATACTCTTGAAAAACTTGGCACGAATGAATATGAATGTTATAGTAAATTCATCCTCCCAAAGAATCCAAGAGATTTCTCTTTTGATGCAACAATCAAAACTCTGACGCAAATCTTTGCTGAACAATCATCACTCTTTAATATTCGTTATCAATGCCTCAAAATAACGAAGTCAAGTGAGGATGATTGAGTAAAACATGCCGGCCTAATAAACCGTGAATGTGAACGATTCAAACTATCATCAATGACGGAAGACCAGTTTAAGTGCCTCGTATTTGTGTGTAGCCTACAATCTCCCGAAGATGCTGATATAAGAACCAGAATCAGTGCCCAAACATCTAACTACAAGAAATAACTGCAGAGTGTCAGAGATTAGTAAACTTGAAACATGATACCTCCATGGTCGAGAACAATAGCTGGTCGTCATACGTGCATTCTGTTAGTGAAAAGAAAGACTCCGGCTCTCAAAAACCATACAGCACAGACAACCAGCCCTCATCTCCTTGCTCGTCATGTGGAGGTTGGCATTACAAGACGTTTTGTCCATACAAAGAACAAAAGGGTCACAAAGAAACCAGATATAGAAATAAAACTCACAGACGTTACTCTTCACAAGTCTATTCCAAGAAATACAGATCTGGTAAGAAAACGAACAAAATATTAGTATCTCATAACCAGACAAGATTTCACCGCCGAAGAAAGTATGTGACCATAGACATGAATGCACACCGTGTCCGTCTTCAACTTGACACAGCATCTGATATCACCCTAATCAGCCCAAAATCTTGGGAGAAAATTGGGAGACCCACAATTCACCGAACGAAGCAACTAGCGCACAGCGCATCTGGAAGTAAGCTTAATATTGTTGGGGAAATAACGTGCAATGTTTCAAAAAATGAGACGACAACTAGTGCAACTGTTTACTTAGCCAAAAACCCGGAACTCAATTTATTGGGGTTGGATCTAATAGATGCATTAAAATTAGCAGATCATCCTCTCAACAATATCTGCAGCCAACTCAGAATCAATAACCCTTTAGAGTCTAGTCAGAGAAATGCCATTATAAAAAGGCATCATCACGTGTTTTCAGAAGGGTTGGGCAAATGCACGAAAGCCAAAGCACTACTGACTCTCAAATCAACATCTATTCCTGTTTTTTGACCAAAAAGACCTGTACCTTATGCTTCTCTCCCACTAGTTGAACAGAAATTAGAACGGCTTCAAAAAATGGGTGTCATTAAACCTGTGAGTTTCTCCAATTGGGCTGCATCGATTGTGGTGGTCAAGAAGTCAAACGGCAGTGTCCTTCTATGCGCAGATTACTCTACAGGACTGAATGATGCGCTAGAACCCCACCAGTATCCTTTTCCTATACCTGAGGATCTTTTTGCTAAGCTGAATGGAGGCAAGGTGTTTGCAAAACCGGATTTATCAGAAGCTTACTTGCTGATTCCTGTCGCGGATCAAAGTAAAGATCTGCTTACTATAAACACTCACAAGGGCCTATTCCGATATAATCGTTTAAAATTTCGAGTCAAAACGGCGCCCCTCGTATTTCAACAGGTGATGGTTACTATGCTACGTGATCTCCCTGGTGTTGCAGCTTATCTGGATGACATAATATTTATGGGAATTGACAGAATAGACCTAGAATAGAAGCTCGACCGGGTGCTATCGAGAATAGCTGAATATGGATTCCGGCTTCGTGAAGAAAAATGTGACTTTTGCATACAGTGTACGCTAACTCGGTTTTATCATTGATAAGGACGGGAGAAAACCAGATCCAGAGAACACTCAAGCTTTGAAAGCAATGCTGAGACCGACAGATGTTCCTACACTTCGATCCTTTTTGGGGCTAGTGAATCATTATGGAGCTTTTGTCCCTGACCTTCATCGTTTACGTGCCCCATTTAATAGTCTTTTAACAGAGAACGCAAAGTGGTGTTGGTCTAAAAGTTGTCAAACTGTTTTCGAGAAGACCAAGAAACTGCTACTCTCGGATCTGTCGTTGACACACTATGACCCATCCCTACCCATTGTAGTGGCATCAGGTGCTTCAAACTACGGCATTGGAACAAGCGTTTCGCATATCATGCCTGATTGATCAGAGAAAGCAATCTCGCTGAACATTTTGTTAAATTACGGCTCCTTATGGTCTAGTGGAATGTCACGAACTGGTGGTATTGATGATGACTTATCATGCAAAATACCTCTTTAAATCGTATTTAGAATGTTAAATTGGTTTAACTTCCTACCCAGTAATCCTATTACAAGCAAACTAGACAATTCGATAAAAAAATAACGCGCTATTCAAAAAGGAGAGTGGTATTTTTCCTCGCTGAGTAAATTCTGTTGTTTTGATCGTTTATACGTATCAAAACTACTGTTTACACTTTAATTGAGTTTATTTCAGTTAAAGTATTCGATTAGAGTATCGTTTTTGTTTCCAAAGTAGTTTGTTGTCAGTACTGTGCGCGTGTCCAAAAAGGGTAGTGATTTTGTACTTGTTGTGATTATCCTTGCTTTTGTGTAATTGTTGCATCAAAAGCATTCTTGGTCTATATCAAAGTGTTTTTAGTTAAGGTTCTAAATCTTGCTAAGATTTGTCTTGTGAAACCCTCTTCCTCATTGACTGACACTAGTGTTCATATTGTGTTATACACCTTTATCTGACTAAAATGGTTGGTAGTACTCACAAATGTGGACAACCACGTTGTTTGTTCCCTGTGGACGAAGGAATGCAGTGTGATGAATGCAAAAGCTGGTTCCATAAGATGTGCACTCGTTTAAGTCCCACTGCGTACAAAAGATGTTCAAAGCCTAACTCACACTGGCTTTGCATGTTTTGTTGTGCAAATAAGACGTTACTAATACAAGAGGCTATGAGCCTACTGGCTTTGGCTTGTAAGAAAAACGATAGGGCATGCACTGATAACATGAGCACTGACAGTGACGAATGTGTCAGTGTAGTAGTACCTGCTGTTACAAGACGCCTCAAACACCCCAATTTGATTGACGGGAAAGTGAAATCTCCTTTAATATTACCGAGGGAAGAAGCACCACCTGAAACTAACATCAGTAACCAGGTGCCTCTAGTGGACACTGAAGATCTGAATAAGACCGTCACTGTTCCAAATAGTCCCGGTGTACTGAAGGATGAAAAATGGACTACAGTACGGAATAAACGAAGTGAAAAGAAAAAGGCTGTGGGCAATGCGCAGGTAGTTAGCAAGTCATTGGTGAACTCCCATTGTGAGTCACAAAACGTACTACCGAAATCTGATAGAAAGAGGGAAAACCACCCAGGTGTGACTGAAAAAAAGAATCTGATATCATCGAATATTATTGTTAGCAAATTACTGGAGTCAAACGACCCTGACCCCAAAATTAGACATGCGCATGATTTAGAGAAGTTGGGAGATTATATTCGTAGTATCTTACCGGATAACTCTAAAGGAGTCCAGGTCAAAAAGCTGGTAAGAATAGGCAAGAGGACCGAAAACAATGCTGAACCTCGTCCATGTAGACTCCTTAAGGTAATCCTAGGATCAGAGACGCAACGGGACCTCCTGTTAAGTAATGCTCGTTGTCACGACAATTCTGATATCCGAGTTAGACCTGATATGTCTCTCGAAGACAGAATAAAAAGAAAGAAAGCACTAGCTGAACTAGAAATCCGCCAACAAAATGGTGAGAAAAATCTCCGGTTAGTGGGTTTTCGGATAGTCAAGTCTTGGAAGCGAATGCTACCAACGCCTGTATGGATAGGCCGTTCTACCTAGGAGTCTTATATGCCAATGCTCGTAGTCTAAGAAATAAGTTCTATGAGCTAGGAGCATTAGTGGACAGATTAAGGCCACTCATCGTAGCAGTGACAGAAACTTGGTTAGTCCATAACTTCGACATTACTCCAGAACTATCGGGATACCATTACCTAAGGAGTGATAGACATAGTTGTAGAAAAGGAGGTGGTGTCCTGTTATATATATCCAATAGTATAAATATACGCTCCTTTGTTAGCGAATCCCATGACAGCGGTACTTGTGAAGTTATTAGCTGTAAATTGGATATCGGATGTAGTACGTTTATGCTCGGTGTCATCTATCGCAGCCCAATCTGTTTAGCCGATGACTTTATTCTAGAGCACATTCATCTTTGGAGTACCAATACCAGGTGCTTGATAATAGGAGACTTTAATGCACCTAACATTAGTTGGGCTGAAATGACCACAGAAGGATCTATAAACTCCTTTGAAAATAGGTTCCTGATAACAATAATGGAGCATGCATTAGTGCAGCATGTATCCAAACCTACACGTTTTGGTGCTAACCAAGGTTCTTCTCTGTTGGACTTGGTAATCACTCATGATACTGAAGATATTGTCGACCTAAATGTTCTCCCACCGTTAGCGAACAGTGATCACGCTGTTTTGTCCTTCTCGTTTAGAACTAGGGACATGTTATACGATCAGGTCACACCCCGCCCAAATATATGGAAAGCTAACATATCAGCCATTCAGGAATGCGCTGCTAAGACAGATTGGTTTGTAGATACTAGCTTATCAGTTGAAGAAGCATGGTCTGTATTCAAAGGTAAGTTTAGTTTAGTTACGTCCTCGTTCATACCATACCTGATACCGCGAAGACCGAATAATAGTCCACCATGGATAACCAAACCAGTTAAGAAACTTCTTAGAAGAAGGAAGAAGCACTGGAATATGTTCATCTCTACGGGCTTAGAACAATACCGATCCAGTTATTGTAAGACTAGGAATGCCTGTAAAGCTTTAATAAGTAAGACTAGACGATCATACGAAAAGCAATTGGTTAGGGATTCTAAATATAGTTCGAAACGGTTATTCTCGTATATAAAAAGACGAACTCAGAGAAGTGATGGAATTCCATCACTTTTGATACAAGAAAATCCGTTAATCTTGGCAGAGAATGATACAGAAAAAGCTGAAGCTTTATCGAAATATTTCAGTAAAGTGTTTTCTATCACTAATGAGGAACGACCAACGATTCATTATGACCGTAACGGCTCGCTGATGGATCCTGTGGTCATTGAGAAAGGTACTGTTTTAAGGCTACTTCAGCATATCAAACCTGATAAGTCTAGTGGTCCTGATAATATTCATCCTAGGATTATGAAAGCCATATCAGACGTAATTGCTGAACCATTGGCGATACTGTTTGACATGTCTCTGAAGCAGTCCAAACTGCCCAGAGACTGGAAAGACGCTATAATAAGTCCGGTGTACAAGGCTGGGAGTAGGGACTTAGTTAGTAACTATAGACCCGTTAGCTTAACGAGTGCAGTTGTAAAACTGATGGAAAAAATCATTCGGATATCTGTTATAAACTATGTTGAAAGGCATAATCTTTTCTCCAGAGAACAACATGGTTTTCGGAGAGGCCTATCGTGCTTGACAAATCTTCTCTAATCGCAAGAGAAGATTGGGCTGCTGCAAAAGATCAGAGTATTCCTGTAGATGTGATCTTCATAGACCTTAGTAAGGCTTTCGATAAGGTCTCTCACTCTGGTCTTAGACTAAAACTGGAACTCTTCGGAATCCATTATACAGTCGTAGATTGGATAAGTAACTTTCTCCATGACAGGAGACAAAGGGTAAGGGTAAATGGGACTCTTTCCTCGTGGGTGCCTGTGAAAAGTGGAGTTCCCCAAGGTACCATCCTCGGTCCTCTTCTCTTTTTACTTTATGTAAATGAATTACCAACTGTAGCAAAATCATCCATTCTACTATTCGCTGATGACATAAAAATTTGGAGACCCATACACAGTATGTCAGATAGAATAGTATTACAGAATGATCTTAGCTCATTGGTGGCATGGTTAGATAGGTGGTCACTTGAAGTTAATCCAAATAAGAGCGTGGTGATGCAATTAAATGACAATGATGAATCGTATCACTATAAAATACGTGGATTCGTACTACCCAAAGTAAGAAACTACAAAGATTTGGGAGTCATATTAAGTAGTGATCTCAAAACCACTAGTCACTGTAAGGCTGCTGCTGCAAAAGGCTATAGAATATTATGGTCTATTCGTAGGTCTTTTCAGTATTTAGATGACGAAATGTTTAGACTACTATACCCGATTTATGTGAGACCACATTTAGAATATGGAATTCAAGCAGCAAGTCCTTGTTTCAAGTACGAAGCAGATATGCTAGAGCGAGTCCAACGACGAGGTACTAAGATGGTACAAGGTCTATCTGGACTATCTTATGAAGACAGATTGAGACACCTCAACCTATTTCCTTTATCTTACCGTCGAATTCGGGGTGATCTAATATTGGCTTATCGTATACTGAACGATGACCTTGGTATTAACATGTCTTATCTTTTACTTCCGTCTAGGACTGATCGTTTGAGAGGACACTCAAAAAAAAATTCAAAAACCGAGATCAAATCGTTTACGTCTGGAGTTTCGTTTCTCTCATCGAGTAGTGAATTATTGGAATTCTCTACCGGAACACGTAATATCAGCACCTTCTGTTGATATATTCAAGACGAGATTGGACCTCCACAGTATTACAAACTGCAAGGATTAATACAGGTCGATAGACCTCCTATCCTTATTACTGAAGACTGAAGACTGAAGACTGAAGCCTACTCAAGACCCTATAAAATCAAAAAAGGCTCCAATAGCGTCAACAAAAAAAGGGAGACAGCCATTTGTGTATCGTAACACTGCGTTTAGCACTATATTTTATAACTACATATTCTCATACTCTCAGTTTCTTTCTGAACCACCTCCGTTTGTCAGTTGATTATTCACTCATACGTTGTCTACAGTTATTTCCTTTAACCTATTAGGATGTTCCTGCTTACTAAAATACTTTAATGAAAGAGAATCAGACTGAGTAGTCATACCTCAACCACTTCTTCATGAACATTGTCTTTTCTGCTTTTCGTCCTTTTTTTTTTGTTTTCTTGAACCGTTTTTCAGCCTCCTTGAGATACGGAACGAGTGACCCCGTCCTGCACCAACTTTGAAGACTCAAATATTCCAAAGGGATATAAGATTGCGATTTCTAGAAGCCCTCAACTGCACATGAATCTAGTATCGACCGTCAGTTGCACGTCGCAACGCAACTCTCATGAAGCGCGCTAACTGTGATACTGACTAAAACCATTCTACATTCATATCTTATAAATTATAGACCCAGCTGATTAATTTACTACAGTTGGAAATTGTATCATTTGTAACAATTTGATCTTGCCTGTAAACTGGCATGACTCATGTAACAAAATGTTATTTGAGAATAAATTATTATTATTATTACTGCTTTCGGACAAGCTGACGCTTTGTCTAGGCTCATTGGTTCCCAAGCGAATCACGAAGAAGATACTTTGGTGGCAGCGATTGAGACAGAGACAGAAGTACATCGAGTTTTGGAAGACGCAGTAGATAGTCTACCGGTTACATTCGAAGCTATTAAAGAAGCTACAAGAAATGACAAAATACTACAAGAAGTTAAGGGTTATCTCCTCTCAAAGTGGCCAAATCGTCGTTTACAAGGAGAACTGCAACAATATTTCCCCCGGCGCGGTTCACTCATGATTGTGGATTCATGCATTATGTTTGGTGACCGGATTATTATCCCAGAATTATTGCGACATAAAATCCTCAAGCAATTTCACAGTGGTCACCCTGGGATAAACAAGATGAAGTCATTGGCGCGCTGTTACGCCTACTGCCCTTCGATGGATAAAGAGATCGAAAACAAATGCTGAAACTGCTCTTCTTGTTTACAAGCTGCAAAAAACCCTTCGAAATGTGAACCTCAACCATGGCAAAATCCTAGTGGACCTTGGGAGAGAATTCATGCAGATTTTGCTGGTCCAATACATGGAAAAATGTTTCTGGTTATCGTAGATGCATTTACTAAATGGTCAGAAATATATACCATGCCAAATTGTACAACGTCAGAAACAATCCACAAGTAGTCTACCTTATTTAGCTGCTTCGGAGTTCCAGAGATCGTGGTAACTGATAATGGCTCGCAATTCATTGCAGAATCGTTTAAGTATTTCTGTAGCGCAAATGGAATAACTCATCTTTCTTCTTCGTCTTATCATCTGCAATCGAACGGACAAGCAGAACGCTTTGTGGACACCTTTAAACGAGCACTACCGGAAGGGGGAGGCGAAGGGACAACTGGACAGGTAATCACAAACTTTTCGACAACCTGCAGAACCACTCCGAACCCAAATGTTCCAGACGGTAAGTCTCCTGCCGGAGCCAAGTTTGGAAGGCGTATTCGAACCGTTTTCAACGCCATGTTCCCATCAAAATTAGTGTACGGGCACAATCAAAATTCAAATATGCGGAACTTTATTGTCGGCGACGAAGTTTTCATTAAATCCTACGCCGGAAAGAACCGATGGGAGCCGGGAAAAACTGTACAAAAGTTAGGAAAAGTTTTGTACAGAGTCCGAGGAACTTTTGGAACATGAATACGACATACGAATCTAATCCATAAGGACAAACGAACGATGCAGACTCGAAATAACCGGCCAAATTTCCCGTTAGAGTTGATCTTGGACGTACTAACGATACATATGCTCAAGGACACTGAAGGAAAGCCTCGGATAAGAAAGACGACAAGAATAATGAGACGCCACCGCAACCCAAGATACAAACAGATCCTAGAAAGAAATCTTATTCGGGGGAGGTGTTGAGTTGGCCAGCGAGAAGCCACCCACGTACATAGTCGATTGACTAAGTTATCGATTAACTTATCGATCAGATGTTAAATATTTGAATAGCAGTCAATTGACTAAATTATTGATGAATGTTTAAAAATTTAAATGACAACATTGATTATATATAATTTTGTATAAATACGCATGTTTTATTGTATATTTTGATTCTTGTCAATAAGTGCTCACAACGTCTTCGTCTTCTTACTTGCGAGCGGTTGGAGGTTATGACGTTCGAGTGTCATCCGTTGTAGAGTCTTTTCGTGCGTATTCGAGTAGAGAACTTAACAGATGACAAAGGGAATTTCTAATTTCATAGTCCGCAATCGAATTTATGCGGTTGTTCGCGGTCACTGTACTTCGACACTAACAGCATCAAAGTAATAGCTGGCGAAAGGTTCTTCAGCACTGTGTGCAATCTATCAAATCTGAAAAACTTTACTTCATAGTTCAACTGAATACTTCAGAATACACAAAACTGGTTTAAGTGATTCAACACCAGTGGCTACGGCAAACTGCAGTAAATTCGACGTTCGTTGTTCAACAATTATTTTGAAAGACTATGAGATATCAACACAATAGCCACTGTCAAACAGATGACGACTCATTCAATATCATAATATAGAGTTGTAAGCAGCTGGCGAGAAACCGGGAAATTTGGTGAGTTCATGATGTTCTGCCACGTTAATTGTTCTTACTTGAGTAAAATGTATAAGTGGGGAAGGCCGGATGAAACATGTGAACACCGCCAGATGGAAATAACTATCTGAAATTGTCTCAACACGTCATTTTGATCGGAAAATTATTAACAACTAGTTACCACTAAGTAGTATAGTCAAAATACTCAGGTAACAGAGTTTCACAAGTGTTTATTGACCAGACAAACAGGACATCACTAATTCAGCCTCGACCAATATATATAAACATCTCGGTCCTACAAGATATCAGCTGTGTTCACAGTAACGTGGCAGTTAATTTTGAAACTGCTAAATCGAGTGACATGTGTTCGGATAACTCGAGAGTACATTG